GATGAAAAAAAAAAAACAATCTCAATATTTATACAACATACTCAACTTAATCAATCATGAATCCATTTAATAACTGTAAATACATCAAATTAAGATGCAATCATACATGGGGAAACCATGGTTCGAACCCTTTGTACCCGAGCCACGAATGGGCCTTTTGAAGACTTAATTTTGTCCCATTGTCTAAGGCACGGGTAATAATAATAACTCAAGGAGATCAATGCAATGGGAAGCAAATGATCACATTTATTTCACTTAATGGGGATCAAATCATGAGAGAGACATGTATCAAAGTAGTCCTTCAAAGCTTGACAGAGATACTACACAAAATAAAGAAGTTATGTTGAAACTACACCATGTGGGTCCATAAGGGACCACACGAACTTTTCAACATTAAAAAGGGAACTCAATGGACTATTTCTTATGCTCGAATATGATGAAAGAAACATCTCATCAGTTGTATATTCTCAATAAAAAATTCCAAAAAAATAAGATCAAGAAATCAAGTTGAAACTACTCAACATCATGGAGTAAGCAAGCTAGTCTACACATACTGTGTATGGACTACACTATTGCTTTAGGACTCTTCAAATATCAAGTTTTCATGACCAAAGTGAAGAAAGCTACTGCAAATTAAGAATTACAGCAAGCTTTGATAATGAAAATGAGATAGGAATTAAAAATATGAGAAGAAAAATCAATACCTTAATGAAGCAATGGTATGGGCTTGATCATATAAATGATGGACTACTCCATGGAAGGGTTTCAAATGAAGGTGACCACATTTTTGTCAAGGGCTCTCTCTCTCTCTCTTTGAAGTGAATACTCAAGTTAGGGTAATAATTGATCCCATAAGTTACTTTTATACTTAGAACATAAAAATGGATTTAATCTTGATCCTTGATGCCTTAGATCAATAGCACATGAGAGGCTTTTATCCAAGCCACTCATCCATATTTTATCACCAAGATCAATGGATAAGCTTTTGACACCCTTCACTCCTCAAAACCTAGGTTTATAGTCATTTTACCTTGAAGCCCTTAGCTCCATGTTTTATTTCTCATTAAGTCCAAATTCATGTTTACACTTATGCCCATAGTTTTTGAATAATTTGTGAGAGTCAATAAAATACAAGGCCATGGACATAAAGGTAATATGAGACATCTATACATGTGAATAAAATATCTTATGACACCACCAATAGGATTTTAACAACACTAAAGTTTCACATGGGTCAAGCCCATAAGGTGGTGCCACATAAGATATACTCATATGCTACAAAATCATATGTGGATAATAATATGAATTAAATTAATTCTCAAAATCCCATGACTTCACACATGCCAAAAATGACACATATGAGCTAAAAAAAAACATGCGACTTAAATCAAACTTAATTCATAACAATATATAACTTTTTAAATAACATGATAACATGTTATAACATAATACCAAGAAAATAATTAATAACAAATAGGTCCCCACATGGATATGATGTCAGCATGATGTCATCCACAAGTGGGGAGTTGGGGATGCCACATGGCATTCCTATGGCCACTAGGGATCCATGTGGCATCCCCATAAGATGTCCTTGTTTGGTATTTACGTTAAACAAATTTGAAAATCACATTTTTTATTGTTTAAAAAATCTGAAATATTCTCCAAAAATCTCAAAAATTCTCCAAATGATTTCCCAACATTATTACACAATTTCTCATCAATATAAAATCTTTTCTCATCAATTTTAGATTAATTTGAGCCAAAGGAAAATGAGATCTCTAGACTTATAACACTAGTCGGAGTCTTCCATTGGGCTAACCCGAATGACGTTCCACCGGTGTCTCAAGCCGACCCAATGGACCTATGCTCCACAGTCTATGGCAGGG